TGATTTCCACACGAGATAATTTTGATGAAATAAATCAATGAAATGATTTTGAGATTGACAAAGGAAAAAAAGCTTCATCAATTTTCACCATTATTTGGGCTTCATTTCTCTGAATGCGATTGATTCTATCAAAAAATCGCATAAACAGTTCAGACGTTGCGCCGACATCACAAAAAAAGAAGTGTCAGAAGGAGAAGGAGGCATTGTGAGTGAATAAGAAGCCAAAATTTGACACGAAAACGGAAAGGATTTCGATTTAGTGCAATTGTGTCTATGAAAACATTGAGTTTCATGAGAAATTCAGCTCAAAGACCAGAGCACAACCACGGAGAAGTGATTATTTTCGCAACTGAAAACGGATTCAAAACATACGCTGCATATTGAACGAGCATCCATTTGAGAATTTTTTCATCCGGCATTTCAAAGCTGCAGAATAGCGTTCTCACCTGAACATTCATAGTATTAGAGCAATTTGAGGAGCATTACTGTACTCGTTTGTCGCAGCATGCATACCCACTAAAATGATTTATCGAATTTTTGTTACTATCCGAATGGAAGGCCGATTAGTGTCATTCGATAACTGTCTTGNAAAGTTTTTGATAAGAATACTTGCAGGCATCTTTACTGATGATTCGCTCGCAGATGATAATTAGTACGCGAAAGAGTAAAACGTGACAACTCGAAAATGACAAAAAATACCCCTTGTGAGAGTAAATCGAGTGTATATTCACAAAGGAATGTCGTTTTACCAAAGCCAGTACCACCCGTCAGAACGGTCAATTCTCCAGGACGGAATCCCGACAAGTACTTATTGAGAACATCGAAGCGTTTCCACTGAAAATTTGTGGAATCATCGTATATAAGCTCAATCCATCAGGATGAAATAGAAAGAGTTACTGTCGAACAGTATGTCACCAGCGACAAAACGCTCAAGTTTACAAATCAAGCGACAATTTGTTGAACGAAACATGACAATAGCAATGAGACATACCTGCGATATACCATACTGTTTTGCTCGACTATTGACAATTTCCGATTTCAAATCATTCCTGACATCGATCATCGATCTGAATCCTTTGTTACGAACTCGTATCGCTTCTTCGCGGATCGCTTTATTGATCTCTCGGCGTCGTTCACTTCGGAGCAATTCAATTGGACGCTCTTTATGACTAGAAGTGTAATTCAATGAATCAATTTATTGGATCAAATGGCTCAATCAAACGAGGTGCGACGAATTCAATCCCTTTGAAATTATTTCGAACGTTTTTCAACTTTCTTGATGGTGAATTTTTTAAGCATTTGTAATTCAAAATTACAGAGAATGTGATCAAAGAGCTATTTTAATAGTTCGTAATGGTAAACGCACTCAATGATGAAGCATCGATTCGCGTTTAAATACGAAGCATAATCTTTGGCTTGTGCATTATGAATATAGGGGAACCACAGATAAATAGCATCAAAATCTTCCAAATACGGTAGAACACTGAAAGATAATCCATTAGGAATCACTGAGTCGAGTATTCTGAGCATCTCCAAAGACGATAGCTGCACGGTTTAATTCATACGTTTTCAATTCAGTGGGAAATTTTACATAACCGTCTCAAAATCAATCTCAATTAATTGTAAGTAGTCAAATCATTTTCAAAAATTCGCTTTCTTGTCAGTTCTCTTATAGAATAATCCGATCTATTGATTCTTCATTGACGACTAAATTGGTGTTTGCAAAATCCCGACTATTTGTGCCGAGATAGCGCTATTTATGTGATCGTTTATCCTCTTGAATGGCAAACAACAAACATTCAGTGAATGATTGATGTGCAATTCAGCAAGAGTATAATACTAAAATAATGCACAAAGCCACAATTCATCAAATCCCAGGATCGGGATTGAAAAGCCGATAGCCCAAGATCCTATGCAAACACCAATCTAAATGAATAATCCATGTACCATTAAAATTAAATCACAAACAAATCAAAGACACTAACGCAGTGTCAATTTTTTCGCCCATCGGCAGAGCAATTGATATCATCCCTCCGGTTGCCTCATAAATAGCTAGTGAATCGCGTTCGTTGGTAGTCAAGATGATACGACGATCTGATGCGGTCACCATATGAAAACCGAATATACCAGAAAATGGCAATCTACTGAAAATTCGATCTCAGCCAGCAATATGATCAATCGGCGATTTGCTCATTCTAACGTTTCCATTACAATTAATTTCCAAAGAACTTGATACACACCGAAAACTTACTAAAGAAGCATTGCAACTGTATGTCTTAATATCGATAACATATCGCATAGCTGTCACCGTCAAATTTGTGCAAAAAGCAGTGGTCGACAAAAAACGTTAGTGATTGATCAC